CTTTGTTGAAAGTAGAAGCAAAAATGATGTCTGTCGAGCTGTCATTGTCAATTAAAACACGATGGACAGTTCTGTTGGCCACCACAGCTCTTATCACCAAAGGGTCATCATGGAGATGTTGGCAGCCCTCCAGATATGAATTTGAGAAAGTGAAAGCCGTGTCTAAGTGTGAAAACTTAGACACAGTAAATACTTTGGGAGCTTCTGTGGCTTTGATTTTTAGCAAGTGGGCCTTTCTAGCATAGCTGGACCCTCCTCCTCAGACAAATCCTCCAGATATCACTCTAATCTCTTCCATAGGTTGCTGGTGTGGCTCTGGCACTTGACGCAGAGGAGGTGGAGGTGGTAGAGCTCGGTTTTGATTATCATTGGCCACATAGCGCCGCAACTACCCTCACTGGATTAGAAATTTTATTTCCTTCTTCAATTGGATACAGTCGTCGGTGTGATGACTATGGTCTCTGTGAAAGTCACAATACTTCATAGGATCCCTTTTTGTCGGGTCTGCTTTCATCCAGGGTGGACACCTTAAGAACTTCTCATGTTGCACCTTATATAGTATTTGAGACACCGTAGCAGTCAAAGAAGTGAGCTACCGGGGTGCATACCTCGGTTGTAGCTCTGGTTGTGGAGGGCCAAGGCGATCCCTGACATTACCTCTTATCTTTGGAGAACGCTCTCTGTCTCTTCTTGGAGACCTACCTCGCTCTCTTTCCTTTCTGGGACTTCTTTCTCTCTTTTTTTCTTCCTTCCTTTTCTCTTTTCTTGGCGAAGAGCTCCCGACCTTGGAGAGGAGCGTTTCCTCACCATTTATGTACTTTTCTGCTTTGGCAAGCACCTCCGCCATACTAGCCTGGGGGTTCTTTGAGATGAAAAATATCAGATCTTTTGACTAAACTCCCAGACCTGCTATAAAGGCTGTAATAACAAATTTTTCGTCTAGAACATCTACCTTCAAGGATTCTGAGTTGAACCATTGGCCATAAGACCGTAGGTTCTCATCAGGTCCCTGTTTCACATTTAACAAATGGTAGCTCGATTTTCTATAGGTCCGAGCTCCAATGAAGTGGGACACAAACGAGATTGACAGCTCTTTAAAAGAGAAGATCGAGGCTGGGGGGAGTCTGTTGAACCATGCTACGGCTGAGCCCTTCAAGATGATAGCAAAGACCCTGCATCTCACTGGATCTTGATATTCATGCAACTCAATTTGATTTTTATAGGTGTTGAGGTGATCCACGGGATCCTTTGTCCCATCAAAAGCATCCACTTGTGACATTCTGAATTTATGTGGGAGAGAAAAATACAGCACCCCAACAGTAAATGGGGATTCGATTTGTTGTACCAAGGTGTCCATAGTGACTGGGGTCTTGCTCTTCACTGCCTCCTTCATCTGGCTGAGCTCTTACTGGATGTCTTTGAAACATTACTCCCAGTGACGTTCTCTTTTCTCCTATTGATAAGGGAAGAAGTCGCTCCTCTCCCCTTCCTTATACTGACTTTGCACTTTCTCGTTATGACCATCCCTAGGGGGTAGGCGAGGTTCTTGCCCTAAGGTCTGGCTATTCTCTCCCACCTCATTAACTTCTCTGAGGGGGTCGAGATGCGGTTACTCCCTTGGTGATGGATTATTCTAGCCTCCTTGGGCCGGTCGCGCCTCCTGTAGGCGTTGTAAGAGTTCTTCGTTTTGTTTTAGCAAGCGTTGATTAACGAGGCGAAGGGCCTCCATCTCGTTATTCATGGGAAGACTCCCTATGGGGGGATTTGTTTCTTGCACATTTTTGGGCTATCTGCTATTTGCGGCTTTCTGTTGATCTTGCATCCGTAGAGGATTGGTCTGACTTTGACTTATGTTTCGCGTTGATACCATCAGTCACTAGAAAATCAGCTTTATTTGTAACAAGAATAGTCGTTCCCACAGACGGAGCCAAACTGATAGTGTAAACCAAATTGTATGAGTAATGGATCGTAATTATGCTTTGCTGTGATGGTGGTGTGATAATGAAAGAAATATTTTTTTTTAGGGGCTGGGATGATTAACACAGAAGAAGTAAAATGGTTCACCAGCTCAAGAGTTCGGCTAATCCACTCTTTAATGGAGACTCTTGCTCCTTGCCTTTCAATAATGATGATTACAAGAGTACAATGACTAGTTTTTGCCTCCAGGGTCCTCTCCCTTTCTTTGGGGGAGTTACATAGTATTTATAGGGTTGTTCCCTATTCAGTGGGATTTTGGCTGAGATTTTTACCCTTATTTCGTGGGCTTCTCTTTAATTCTAGGAGAAGATCTTGGTTGATTGAGATAAGTTGTCTTGATTATAGCTTCCTAACGCTTTAGGAACTTCTCGTGGTTATCCAACCATTGCATTGCTTCAAGAAACATTCAACCCTTGCCTTTTGATCTCAGTTAATATAACTGACCTCTCGATCTGAACTGAACTCCTGAGCTAACACTTGAGATTTACTTTAGGCATCATCAGTTTTGATGAAAAGAAAATAAATATTTTCATACTTGATTATGCAGAGCTCCATTTGGATTTGTCATTTACACGTCTAAAGTGATTCCCCAGAAAAGAGAATAGCTTGTAAGACAGCCAGAGATTATTGGTCTAGCATTTTGAATGTGATAAGAATGCAATTCGTTCAGCTAAATGTTCATATGAGAATAATTCAACAAACGAATCACCCTCTAATTGTCACATATACACAATTTTATTCACGTGCGGACAGATATTTTCATTACTTGAACTTGCGACACCTAAATCAACATGGAGCAACTTGCACATCTTATAAAACCCGCCCTCTTTTTTTTATTTTTTATGGGTGAGGACAAAGGAAAGCGCACAGAGACCACCTCAATAAGTTCTCATTGGTGGAATCATGAGGTCCCTGATTGTGTCCGTTACTCATCTCGTGAATAAACTTAGCTAAGCTAACACAGTAGTTAACCACCGAACTTTAATGTGAATTTTAAGATTCAAACTTTCAACTCAGAAAAGTTTGACCGATCTCCTATTAAACCCTCTACTTACATATTGGAGAACCAAGATGATGGAGTAAGACTGATGGACCATTCGACACCGTCAAAAGGCGATGCTTTCCTAGAGCCGGAACTTTAAAAATGTGGCACAAAAGTTTGGTCTAGAATCGTAATGTCTATGCATAATTCTCTCTTGCTACCTTCCGCAAACACTTCATCAGTCTTACAAGTTGGCACATGAGTGAAGAATTTATTGTACTATAATGTATCAGATACCTCAATGTGGCTCATATTTCCATGAATGATCAATCTAAGACATATGTGCAAGTTCTCATAGAATACTGCCAATTATAATCCACTCATTTCATTTAAGACACCAAATTGGAATATTTTTTGTTTGATTAGAGTTGATGGGGTGAAAGAAATTTTAGCATCGTCTCCAATTTACATTTTGCTAGTAGAATACCAAACTCCTTTGGGAAAAATCACGATTTACCAAGAGTTCAGAGTCGATAGATTTTGTTAAGTACTCTTAGATAATTTTTTTTTAAGTAATATTTTTTTTTTTTTTACGTTGAGAGTTTTTTTTTAATGAAATTTCTTTTTTGTGCCAATCTGTTGCTTCCTTGTCTAGATTTATTCATCTTGTTCCAACCATAATTGCACACATATATATATTTTTTGGTTTAACGGTCTGAGTGTCTAGACCAGTTTATGCTTATCTCAACTAATTTAATCTTTAGTTTAGTCAAAGGAATGTCATCCACTCTGGAACTAAAATATTCATAAGGGATAAATCTTTCGTGACCTGGTCCCAAGGGTTGTCAAGATTTAAACTCTAGATGTCTAGATTTACAATTCGTCTTTATTACTACTTGAACTACCCTTTCAATTTTAATTGCACATATAGTAGTATACATCTCTCTCTCTCTCTCTCTCTCTCTCTCTCTCTCTCTCTCTCTCTCTCTCTCTCTCTCTCTCTCTCTCTCTCTCTATATATATATATATATATATATATATATATATACACTAAGATTCAAATAAATTATTTTTATTAATTGTAAACAAACATTTTCTCTCTTTTAACAAAATTGTTTTGTGGTTAGAAAAATTAGTTAAAAGAACATTATCAAGAAAATGATTTTATCATTGTGGTTAATAGCTGGATTGACGACATTCCATTTCATTAGCAAATTGGAATCTAATGCTTTACTATGCCCAACTACATAAACTCTCGGTTCTTATCAAAAAATAATCAAATTTAACAAAATTTTGTCCTAATTATTTAGTGTCGGTTATATAAAATTCTGTTATTTAATCAGAAGCCAAGTTAAAACTTAAAAATCACCACGATCTAACTTTAAGGACGTCCTGATTAAAAATTTAAAAAAAAAAAAAAACAAGAATAAAATGAGTTTATTGTGTGCCTATGCCCTCTGTTTTTACAGAACATTTTTCCACGGTAGTTTTGACTTCTAAAAGTGTTTTTTGAAAAAATAATTTAAAAAAAAATGTACGCGCACGCACAGAGAAAGAAAAGAGAGAATATTTTTTTTTCTCTAGAATAAAGTAGGAATGCCTGAAACTGTACGAGCAGCGGATAAAAGTTGTCTTTTCTCAAACCATAATAGCATTGATTTACAGGGGGTACTTATTATACAAATTTCCAAATTTAACTTCAATGGCCCATATTAGTGGAATCATATTCCTAACCGTATTTTAAATGTTTCCGTCTCGCCTCCTTTTATTTTTTTTGCTACTGAAGAAAGGAATGGGTACAAAGAGAGCGTCCATAAATCGCTTCGATTGGCTCTCACCGGTGAGATCATGAGACATTTGACAGCGCCCGTTACTCTTCTCGGGAATGAATCTAGTTGGGCTAGTATCGGTCAACCATCAAACTCTAATGTGAACTCTAAAACTCGAACCTCTAATCTCAATCTAAAAAATTTGTTGGTACCCCTGAATTACCCCTGTCAGTGGTCCCTCTCACCTCCTTAAATCAATATAAAAAGGCTCAATGCCACACACAACAAAACCAAGCCAAATTTCATCTTCCAAAGATCTAAGAGAGAAGAGAGCATATATCAAACTACTGCCTTTGTTAGTAGAAAATATGGGAGCCACTCAATCTACCACTGGATCAGTCTCCAAGCATCAGGTTGTGGCATTCCATTCCTCAGACAAATGGAAGAACCATTTTGAAGCTTCTAAACAAACAGGCAAACTGGTAAACCACAAAATTTGCAATTTTGTAAACCCGCAAAGATTTAGTTTTCGGAGTTTATTCCATATCAATGATAGTTTCTAGCTTATTTTTCAATCTACTATTATTTACATGAAAGTGTGTTTTACACCCATACGAAAAAACATGTTTGCAAAACGCACTTCCAAGGTTTTTGTATTGAAAGCAATCGTGTTTTCTAAATACGTTTCTGCATTGAGAAGTGCAAATCTAAACTGCACTTTTGTGTAAGTAACAGTAAATAACAAAAACTGTGAAATACGTTAGAGCAAATAAAGTTGTAAAATCGCAGCAGTTTAATTAAAAATTCGAGTTTTCTATGCCACACCCATGGTGAATGTAAAATCTTATTTCATGGCGTACTAATCATTTTTTTTTTCTTTTGGATTCAAGATGGTCATCGACTTCACAGCTTCGTGGTGTGGACCATGCAAATACATGGAACCCGCCATTAACGAGTTTGCTGCAAAGTATACAGATGTTGAGTTCATCAAGATTGATGTGGATGAATTGGCTGTATGCTCTTTCCTTTACTAGGATATTGTGTGGTTGCATTTTCGGTTTTTTTTTGTTGGTGATACATCAAATGATACTAATGATTATGAATGCATAATTGAAACAGGATGTGGCTCGGGAATTTGAAGTGGAGGCAATGCCTACATTCATACTGGTGAAGAAAGGGAAACAAGTTGATAAGGTTGTTGGAGCCAATAAAGAAGAACTCCAGAAGAAGATTGAGAAACACAGGTTCTAATTAGCAGCAGAAGAAGAAAACCAGAACACTAATCTAAACACTTTCAATAAGATCATATCTCACCATGCTCTTGTTTTGCTTTGTCATTTCTATGTTTTGTAAGGCGTCTGTCGAGCTCTGCTGTCTCTGAATTATGGTATGTGGTTTTCGAACTATTTGCCCTATGTCTTAATACTAAAGTGAAGTTCTGGAATTTATCTGACCTCTCTCTCTCTCTCTCTCTCTAAAAACACACCTGAAGAGTCAGATGATCGGAGTCCTCCACAATTACAAATCTATGTCAAAACTGATATAAAAAACTAGGCCCCAAGCACAATTTTGCTGGGAAGTGTTTCTTTAACCACCTCTCCAATTGGAGAAAACAGGACTCAAGCTTTATGATTAGCTACTTAAATATATAGATTGTAGATGTGACGGATTGTCGAACAAGCTTACCTCTGTCAAAATCCAGTCCATCAGGTATAATCAAGCATGCAAGTCTATTTGAAGCAACAGTTTGAACTTGTGTAATTGTATAAACTGAATGACCACTTACATCGTCTCGCACATATGGTTTAGAAAACAAATACCTGCAAACCATTTGACAGGACATTCTATCATCTAAATAATGAAACTCAAAATCTAGCTTATACTTCATACCCAATAACCATTATTAGATTCTATTATACAAATTTCATAGCAAAGACAAGGGTTAATGAAACCCCAGGAAGTAGCTAAAATATCTGTGTTTTCAATGTTCCACACAACGCTAAACCTTGCCTACTCTTCAAACTACCACCCTACTATGCACAATTTTCATTCGTAATGGTGAAAACGTTACATATTTACACTCATTTGCACTTGCAATGTCAGTGTTAGCAATGATCTTCAAACCTTGAGCTGATCCCTGGAGTCTGGACTAATCAGCAGCTCCCACCCAGCACCCTCTTCAAATCAGATTTAGTTTCTGCCGTAAGCCTCAATGGAAATTTGACATCAAACTTGATCCTCAAATTTCCTTTCATCCCAGGTTCTTTTGAGATGGGCATTCCTTCATTTGGAATTATCATCTCATGTCCTGGTTTGACAACATCTGTGACAGGGACTATGAGATCCCTTCCATCCAAGGTCATCAGGTTGAGGGTCTTCCCTGTTAGAGCCTCCAGTAGGGAAATTTTCTTACCGATGACTAAATCATTTCCGTCCCTCTTGAATACAGCATGGGGCTTCTCATCAACCATGAAAATAAGATCTCCAGGGGCAATGCCAAGTTCTTGGTGGCCTTTCTCAGGAAAAGTGATTTTCGTGCCCTTCTTCCAACCAGGTTTAATATATATTGCCAAGATCTCCTCAACAGTCTTAGGCTTACTGCAAGGGTAACGTAGCAATCATATCAAACTTGAAGAGAGGAATGCAGGAAAAAGAATGTATCAGCAAATAAGGGTAACTAGATACTTAAAAACGTAACTAAATCACCACACGATGCCCATTGTACAATGTTCCTTATTTAAACTAAGGCAAGGAACCAATTATCTTTGTTTTGTGGCAGGTATGCATTGACAATAATCTCCAGGGACCCATATGTGGCACCTGATTACCAAAATATTTGTTTCAAGATAAGTGCTTAAGTATCGTGTAAGAAAATGATTCCAACCAACCTAAAATCGCCACAGCAAATCTTGACCATCATTTATTAAGACAGATGAATAGATAAAAATAATACATAATCATATGAAAAGTAAAGTGGAAGCCTAAAATGTTCTTGTGTTTCCTATTCTCATTCCTTCTTCCACTTAATGTCTCCTAATTGTTTCTAATTTCTTGATAGGAACTTTTTTTTTTAGCTATACAATAACTCAAATTACAATGGTTAGTAAATATTAGGAAAGGGCAATCAGAATACCATCTACTGTGCTACTGTTATGCGATCGCAAGTTCAGCGGAGGACAACTTTTTTGTCATAGTAGACAATTTGACCACCCATTGACATCACTGCATAGACATAGCAGGCGACATCCCTTCCCTTGCACGCTTCAAACCCCCCCCCCTTTCTCTCTCTCTCTCTCTCTCTCTCTCTCTCTCCTTTTCATTAGGCATAATAAAAAAAAAAACTCACATCAAAGACCATTTGTTGTTCACCATCCTATGTTTCAGAAGAACTTGATTGTTCTCCGCAAGATTTGTTTTTATTTGAATGTAACTCTCTCACCCTATAACTCACCAGTACACAACCCTGCAACAATAGACCTCTTCACAAAAGAATCAAATTGCACAAAATAAGTTTTCTACCCAACCTCCAAAATCACAATCTAATGTATACAATAAAAAACCAGCAGGCCCACCCACACTCAGCAACTTGAACATTTTAGCTGAAGAAGCAATTAGAAAATTTATCTCTGGGCATATTAATCATTCAACACTCATACAGAATAGCCATCACAGGACAATCAGCCATCTAGCAGATATGTTCCTTAAATTTGGATTTGATTCAGGCTACTAACTATATACAGCTCAATCCCCCCAAAAAAACTGTTATCACAATTCACACAGAAATATACATACAAAGAAATTGATCATGTTATACGTACCCAGAGTCATCAAGAACAATTCTTGAAATCTTCATTTTCCTCCTAGAACCCTTGTAAAGCTCCTCCAAGCTACACGGCAACTTAATTTCCACAGCCGCGGCCTTCATCACTTTCCGATCACCGAAACTTGAACTCCTACCATCACCATAAATTCCGTCAGATCCGCCAAAAAAATCCGCAAAAATATCGTCCGCATCGCGATTTGCCGAGGTCGGAGAGAATTGACCGGACTTCAAAGCTTCTTCGCCGTACAAATCGTAGATCTGACGCTTCTGAGGATCACTAAGCGCATCGTAGGCCTCTGAAATTTCCTTGAACTTTGCTTCCGCTTCTTTCTTGTTGGTACTGTTCTTATCTGGATGCCACTTCATTGCTAGTCCCTTGTATGCTCTCTTCAAGTCCTCTTCGCTCGCATTGCGATTCACTTTCAACACGTTGTAGTAGTAATCCACAGCCATTCTCATCTCTGTAATCTTTGCCTCCTCTGCTCTGTATATGTATATATATACACACACACAGATATTTATAGAGATAGAGAGAATATTATATATATTGATTTGATCGAGACTAGGAATGTTCGGAGTCGGTAATACCGGCGAGTCGGCCGGCGCTTCAACGCTGCAATGACACGGTACGGTATCGCGTGGGGTAGCGAAATGGCGGGGGTTGCGCTAAGATAAGCACATGGTTGAGATATCTTCTACAATAATACTATGGGGACTGGATAAGTATTGATAAGATGACAATGCTTTCAAAATGACGATGACGATCGGGTAGTTTTAGGGTTTTTGTTTCACACCTGTAATTTATATTACTTTTGTGGGGTCCGAGAACGTGCAAGCGCATAACGAGTGGAGCCGACGGAGTATCTTCAGCTACAAATTGCAAGTTGCTTCGCTGTACAGCATCGCAGGTCGGCAAATACTTAAACGAAGTCGGATTGCGATATAAAATGTTAGACTACGTCGTTTGCATTGTGGGGTGTTGAAAAGGAAAAGTCTTAAATGGGTAATTGGGTTAGGAGTTAAGACTATATTTTGGGCCACTTACGAACTGTCGTGTGGTCGAACTTATAGGGCTTTTGAGAATTATAAGTGGCCCAACTGCTAGGGTTTTTGAGAAATATCTATATAATATAATAGTTTATAATTTAAATCTCAAAATAAATAAATAAAATGACTTTTGTTATTCGTGGTTAAAATCACTTTAAATTTTACTTTAAAGTTAATCTAATGGCTAATATTAACACTCTAAATTTAATAAGAAAAATAAATTCTTAAAGGTGTGTTTGGAATAACTTTTTAACAGTATTTTTAGAAATTATTTCTTATAAATACTTTAAAAAAAATAGTGTTTGAAATCACCGCATCAATACCTTTACCACCGCAAACGCCATCACCGCTGTCGTTACCACTACTGCCGCAGCCTCCACCACTATCGTCGTCGCCATCGCCATCGCCATCGCCATCGCCACCGTTGTCACCACCACCCCCCACCGTCGCCACCGCCACTGTTGTCGCCACCACCACCACTGCCATCACCACCAGCGTCGCCATCACCACCACCGCCACCCCCCATCACCACCACCACCATCGTCGTCGCCGTCGCCGCCACCACAACCACCACCGCTGCCGTCGCCCCCACCGTCGCCGTCACCACCACACCTACCACCACCACCACCATCACCGTCCCCACCACCCCCATTACTGTCGCCACCACCACCACCGTCGTCACCGCCACTACCACCACACCCACCACCTGTCATTCTCAATACAAACCGATACTTAAATTTTTTTATCTGTTCTCTATATTTGTAATTTGATTTTAGATATAAATATAAATATGTTTATTGTTTACAATTTTTTTTATTACTTTGTACCTTCAAGCACAGACAATAACTAGTCTATATAATAAAGTAGTTTATAATTCAAATTTCAAAAGATAAATAAAATGATTTTTGTTATTCGCAGTTGAGATCGTTTTAAATTTTATCTTGAAGTTAATCTAACGGCTAATATTAATACTCTAAATTTAATATAAAAAATAGGGGTCTAAGTGTGTGTTTGGAATAACTTTTGAAAAGTACTTTTAAGAATTATTTTTCATAAGTACTTTAAAATAAAATAGTGTTTGAAACCGTCTCACCACTACCTCTACCACCACCACCACCACCACCGCCTCCACCACCACTACTATCGCCTCCACCACCATTGTCACTGTCACTACTACCATCATCACCGTCGCCGTTGCCACCATCCTACGCTACCAGCATCGTTATCGCTGCCACCATCATCACTGTCGCCACTGCCGCCACTATAGTTATTGTCATCCACCACAACCATCCCCGTCTTTCTACCCCATCACTGTCATCCACCACCTTTCACCCCCACTACAACCGATGCTTAAATTTATTTATCTCTCCTCTATGTTTATAATTTGATTTTGAATATGAATACAAATATGTTTATTATTTACCATTTTTTATTTTTCTGTGCCTTCAAGCACAGATAATAACTAGTTAACTTTGATATTATATTAGGGCTTGTTTAACGACTTCATTTAATCCAAACTCAAAAGAGGTTGACAATAGAAATAAGGGTGTTAATCAAGCTAAACTTTACAAATTTAAACTCCAGCTTAACGAATTTATTTTTCTAAACAAGCCTAAAAAAATGTTCAAACTCAACTCGTTTAAAACTTGAGCCGAGCTAAAACCCGAATCAAATCCAAGTAATTTATCTCGATTAACACTATTAATAGAAGTTGATTATGTCATTTGAGAGCTCCATCAATATTAATGAGGGTTAATAATAGATCAAATCATGTAAGATTTATGTCTTGGTTTAGTTATATAGATTCAAACTTTTACTTAATTCTTAGCTAATTCATTTATAATCGAATATAATCAGTGTTTTAAAATCCGACCCGGCCCCGCGGGTTGACCCGGTGAACCGGTCCCCTAATCGGACTAGTTTTATAATTGGACCGTTTGAGCAAAGAACCCGGAATAAAACCGGTGAACCAGTCAAAAAATCGGTAATCCGTGAAAACTGGACCGGATTTACAAAATCGGCCGATTTTGTTCCTTTAGTATAAATATGTTTTTTTTTTACATTTTTGTGTCTTTTTCTTTTCCCCTTCTGTTTTGCCCTATATCCTAAATCATTCGTTCAATATTTGTTAACTCAAAAATTAAGTGAATGCAATTAAGTGATTCAAGTTTGAGGGTAGAAGTTGGGCTGTTAATTGAATACATTGGTTTGTTAATTGAATGCAATTAAGTGATTCAGGCTTGATAACTTTGTTTGATTTAATATATATTAAACATGTTATTTTTATAATTATTTTAATTTTTTAGTCTATTTATCATCATTAATAATTATTTTTTATTTTTTTATTATATCACCGGTTCGACCAGTGACCCAGTGGTTGAACCAGAAATCCATTGACCCCGTCCCTTCTCCGAGTTCGTGTCCGGGCCGGATTTTAAAACTATGAATATAATTAAATTCATGTCTGTACATAAATCTTTGAATATAATTGAATTAATGCAGACCCTAGCTATCAAATGGACTGACCAATCAATCTAGATATGTGTCTAATCCGTTAAGACTAAATTAGTACTTGATAGTTTTATGTTCATTCTGTGTCGAATTTATATTACCCTGATTTATTATAATTCGCATCAACCTCCTAAATGATGGATAAAAAAATTTAAAAAAATTCGAAATGATTATAAATTATATGCATCACACGACTCTTGTTAATGGTTCTATTTACTTCTCGGTTCCTTACCCTATCGGGCATGAAATTTTCTTTTTGGTACATAAATTTATTTATTTTTATTGGGTGCATGCAATGAAAATGGAAAAAAAAGGGAAGAGAGTGAGGGAGAGAGAAGGAAGGCACTCCTTGGTACAAAGTAAAAATCAAGGCCACCATCTCGGAACATATGACCAAAACTGCAATAAACATGATCGATTTTAAAATGTTATAATCAACCAAATTATAATTTTAAAAGTCTAAGTTATAATTCGCAAAGAATAAATTACGATTGTTTCAAGTAAATCATGTTCAATCATTACTTACCTCAAGTAGTTATAACTTTATATTTAGAAAATATAACTTAAATTTAAAAAGTGATAACTTTGTATGATATCAATTTTTTTTTTTAATACCATAGTGTTATCTTCAAGAATTGTTCGTATTTCGACTGAAAATGTTTCTGTAAACCTCAGATTCCTAAACCATGAGAATGTTCCGTGGAATTATTAGCAATCTTCTGGAATGTGCTGTATTATTCCCTACTAGGTATACAGAAATTCCATAGAATATGCCAATCTTCAGTCATATGATTGACCAAATTTCTCTCTCGTGGTTGCCCGATTCACATAGCTTCTCTTAATAAGCAGTTGCTTTCACAATAAGCAAAAAAAAGGTTGAGAAATTTGAGCAAGAAATTGTTCTTGGAAGTAACTAATAAATAAATTGAATATAAAATTGTATGCTAGTTGACTTGGTATACAATTCGGCCACGGTGACCTAGTAACCTTCATGTATAGATATGCATGCTCGAAGACCTTTTTTTAGATACAATTTCATCAATGATAAAAAACGGTTTTTGGATTTCTTACAACTTGCGTCTTTTAGGCACTATTGTAGGTAGAAAACTTCTGCGATAGGTACAGATTTTTTTAGTATTATACGTGTGTGTGTGTGTGTGTGAGAGAGAGAGAGAGAGAGAGATCCAACCATGAATCCAATAAGTAGAGAATTTTAGGTACAATTTCATCAATGACAAATACAGTTTTTAAAATTCTTACAACTTCGGTCTTTCAGACACCATTGTAGGTAGGAAACTTCTTCAGTAAGTACATATTTTTTTAGTATTATACTTGTGTGTGTGTGTGTGTGTGAGAGAGAGAGAGAGAGAGAGAGAGAGAGAGAGATCCAACCATGAATCCAATAAGTAGAGAGTTCACCAAAGGATTTCCAACAAAACCAGTTGCAGAAGTCCCTTTGAGGGGAAAAAAATAAATAAACGAATAGGAGATACAAGCCATCAATCTATAAACATCCCAAGTGAAAAAATTTGTGCACACAACTTTTACGACAAAATCAACTGTCGTGGAACACTCGGTGAGACTAGCACAAACAGATAGATGAAGCTGCCAAGTAAATCGTCCTCTTCATCCTTCATCCACTAACATGTATTTACAAAAAAAATGCTTTCAAAATTCAACAGTATTAATAGGCGTATGATGCTCAAACCGATTCCTCAATGGTTCCAGCAAGAGTAAAGATGGCAAGACGCAGAATGCACATGTTTTTACATGTACTTGGGTTGTCTCTCTGTAAGCAAAACTGCAATGTCTTCTGTGTTTCATCTTAAAATGGCATTCCTGGTTTCTAAAATTCTCCAGCCACTGATACACCCAAAAAAACAGGGCAGCTAAGCAAAAGAAATAGTGGATAATGCAATCAGAGTGGCATATGTATTAGATGCAAAAATGAACAAAATCACAGATAAATTAACGAGGCAAGACATAAATACTTCAAGATGATCTAATTACAACCATTAAAGCCCATGCTCTTTAAAAACAAATGATCACATGCTTCTATCCATTTCAGAACGCATTCAGTACATTTATCCATAGAAAAGAGATGGCCAAAGGGGAGAAGATCAAAGTTATCCACAGTTATTGAACACGGTGTGATTTAAAACATTTCCATGGTAGTATATCCACAATGATCAATGGACTTCCCTCCAGTCCAGAACAAAAAGGCCTAATGCATCCCTCGAATTAGCTCCAATCTACCTCAGGCTATTGCCTTAGATCCATCCCGGTTATCACTAATTTGACAAACTGAATAATCGACTGACATTGGTACCAAACTAGGGAAAACTTGATGATGGAAATTATCAAACTTATTTTTACGAGTTTATCAGATTCCAAACACATCAACTTCATTACACTTCATTCCTCAAAGGTTAAGCTGCAACATGGACAATGAGCAAGTCAAGAACTGGTAGGAAGACTAACAAAGTTTCCCTTTCATTAGACCGAATAATATCATCACCCGGAGTAAGATATCACACTGTGTAAGATGCAGAATTACAAAAACCCAAAACGCCTAGGCAAGTGCTATTATCAAACGTTTTCAACTTCAATCAAGATAAGCATAAATGAATTTTCAATCTAAACACATTACATATAAAACAACCAATTCAACTAGCACAAATAAAAAAAGTTAAAGTGAAAACTCGAAGCAGAAGCTCACCTTTTGATGATGATTGAAGCACAACAACGTGCATAGGCGTATTATTTGGAGGAAGCTGCAATCTGAGGGGATAAAGCTTCCCATTCAATGGGCTTCGCGAGCACACAGTGATATTTTCAAGCCCTGTTTCTTCCTCCAGCCTCTTAGTCAGTTCCATAAACCCATTTCCCTTAAATGTAAAACAAGGCTCCTCATCTTCATCCACTACCCCGGATTCATCTGCAACAACATAATATATAGTCCTACCCTCTCCCACCTTAGGTGGCGAATCAACAAAAGAATCACCTGACTGCATCCACAGAGGAAAAAAAAAAAGAACACCAGGTCAAAACCCATAACTACATAGACAGATTTGACTACACTACGAAACTGGTATCACACTGAAAATTACAACTGGATAAAAGACTAGGTCCATCTCTTTTGATCAAGTTAAATATTCTTTTTTTGTTCTCACCAGATTGAATTGTATCTTCATCTAAACAATAATACCCAAAAAAAACTTTTCGATACAATAATCGAATCCAAATTTCACAAGGGATCATACAACCAGTACATTCAAAAGCATAAAATACAGGCCTTGGAACTAGAATTGAAAACTGTAATAATAAAGTTGTTCCATTGTGAGCTGGAGCTCACAGGTTCGAGTCATAGAAACAGTCTTTCTGCTCGAGAGGAAGACTTGCTTACATCTAACCCTCTCCCTCCCCAGATGTCGCAATGATGGGGGAACCTTTTAATTTCTCTTTTCTCCAATTCGAATTCCAAGAGATGAATATAAATTTGATAGAGCTGTTAAACAAGAGAGAAAATTTAATGGCTGTTATGTTTGGGAAGAAAACTCAAACCTCTTGTCTGGAAAAGCTGGCCGGGGACTTCATAGAATGAGTTGAAGGCGAGCTTGATTCCGATGCAAATGAATCGGACTGAGGGCTTAATTTCGGCATCGGCGAATGAACAACGATCTCAACTACATCAACTTCCCAGAGAATCCACTCCTGAGTGGCGGTCCGGTGAGGAATATCGTGAGTTACAGAGTTCCTCCACGGCGGCAGGCCACCATTCGCACGGAGGAACTGGCCGTACCGAGTCTTAAGCTTCACACAATTACTTTCTTTGATGGGCTCCCACTCGACGGAGGAGTCAAGGCGGCGAGGGAGAGTCTGAGTCACTTTCCGTCCGGTCATGCCAAGAAGGAAAGGCTGATTAGAAGCAGTGAGGTACTTGTTGTAGCAACTCCTCAGGCGGATTAGCATGATGTCAGCGGTGTCGACGAATTCAACGCCCCAACGTGCGTTCTTGGAGGAGCCGTCACGGTCTTGGGTGACAGACTCTTCGTCTTCGTCGGCCGTCAAGTACTTGTTGTGGTGGCTACGGAGGCGTACGGCGCTGGCGTTGAGGAAGAGGTCCATTGCTGTAGTTGAGTTGAGAGAGCTCCCCTGGTATTCGAGTCAAAGAAAGAAAGAAAGGTTGTTGATGAGCGCAGCTGGGTGAGTTTTTATCAAAGGACAGAGTGTAAAATGTGAAAATTTTTGGGTAGTTCGGACAAGTAGGGTGCATCTGGAGAAAATATCCATTACTCATGTATCTAAGGTTTGAAATTTTATAGGTAACTCCTGGGGTTAAATAATAAATAAATAAAGATAAGGACTGTTTGCGGACTATTTCATATCACAGTCAGCGCCAGCCATATTTGATATGCATTCCACACAAAAAAAACTTATTATACGTATATGTGGGGGGTTTATTAGGCAGAATTACACTTTATACCTCAAACAATTTAAGATTTCTCATTTTGTATATTAAAAGATTAAATTTTTTATATTATACTCTTAATATATTAAAAATATTACAACGTGACCCTTCCGTTACTTTTCGTTACTTATTATGTCAAAAACCACCCCATTATCATTAACAGAATGAATAATAAAAACTAACGGATGAATTATATTGTAACATTTTTAAAATATTTAGGGTATAATATAAAAAAATTTAATTTTTAAGAATATAAAGTAAGAATTTTAAAATTTTTGTGTGACGTGAAATTCACTTTTCTTTTTATTTTTTTTTATTGTAAAAGATATGTGTCGATCAACACGGTTACGCCTACTTGACCCATCAGTCAAAAGTCCGATGGATCAAACTCACCAAGCGAATAGGCAATTTTTGGTGCTTATATAAAAGTAGAAATGACAATGGATCAAGAAAAAATAGAAATTCGTCTCATACCATTATGTTTCGATTAGTAATGAATCATACATATTAAACGATGAATGAATGTATACAAAAATATTCGTATAAACTCATGTAACAATGCACTAAAACTTATTTCTACCCCCACCGCGTTGAAAATATATGTAACAAACAAAAAAAATATGTCTTATTCGATTATACCCTTTGTTAACTTACTTGGGTTATCTAGAATATGCACATTTTTTTTGTTTTTTAAACAGTTGAATATGCAAATAATGAAATGTCGAATCTTTTACCAAAACAACAAAAAGAAATGTTGAATTCTTTGTGGAGTTACCCAATAAAAGGAAGTGATTGAAAACTTGAGTTCTAGCTCTTTTGCAAGCGGTAGACTTTTTCAACTTGTGGAGAGGGATGGCTAAAAGTTTGGATTTGTGATCAATTTCGTATAAATAATGTTTTTTAAATTTAATTCATAGGTCTAATTTATTATATCTATTGAATTGATAATGACAATAGACCCCATCTAGTATTGAGATTTACTAGCGATTAATTAAAATGTATAACTTCTATAAAATTAATATTAAATTTCAGAAATTGTTCCGTGGAGAATTCTCTCATAATGAATTGAAAATTTTAAATATATAAAGTAAGAAGACTGAAAATGGAGGGGTGACATTGAGTAATATTACATTCAATCGGACCTTTATGATTAACCCAGAAATCTAATGAACGGAAGGAAAGCCAAAAAAGAATCAAAGAGATATGGACGACTTTACTACAATATAGGTAGGATGTTTTTGTAAGCAATAGGCGGCTTATCCATATAATTTTGTATTTTTTATTTTTTGTACATATATACATGTATTTATACAATTATAATAGCAATAATAATCAAATATTGAATTAAACTCTTGCCACTCAATCCTGGTAATTAGTATTGTCTAATAAAATTAAATTAAATTTCTAAAAAAGAAAAAGAAAATTCTAAAGAAGTAAGTCAAGAAAGCTTACCTTCTTTGCAAAGGAATTGAAAGACTTCGTCGACAACGGCGAATCAATATCCAGGCCGGAAAGTTCATCGGAAATAGAAGAAAAACTCGAAACCATCGACAAATAACTCGTCAGCGACTCATTTTCCGACATATCCACCGCCTCCAAGTGCCACAAAATCCAACTAAGAGTCGAACCAGTATGAGGGGTATCATGGGTCACCGCGTTCCTCCACGGCGGTGGACCACCGTTTCCTCGCAAATACGTTCCACAAAAACCTCGCAATTTCATCTGAAACCCGTCTTGAATAGGCTGCCAATCGATCGACAAGTCCTTCATGTTATTGGGGATTGTTTGGAGTACTTTGTTTCCCGTCATGCCGAGAAGGAAAGCCTCGTTGGAGGCCGTGAGGTATCGGCCATGGCAACTTTTCAGGCGGATAACGTGGCTGTTGTTGTCGACGAACTCGACAATCCACAGGGCTTTACGTGACGTGCCGTTACGGCTCTGCCGGACTGTCTCTTGGTCGTCGTCGGCAACTAGGTACTTGTCAAGATGGCTTCGGAGTTTCACTGCCTTGGCCTTGTTGAAAAAATCCATGACCACGCTCAATACAAGCTTTTGGTGATGAGAGAGAGATAGGTCGAATCAGATTGTAAGAGATTATTTAACGATAGATTAAAAGAGGGTATTTGTTTCCTACAGTGAGAGAGATTGATCAGAGAGAGAGATGATCTTACAATATATCTTCCTTTTTTGGATCCTGGTCTTCACAAGTTGCAATTGTTGTTTCGTTTATACAAATGTGAACAAATGTCCCTTGGACCAATTGACCAAGAAAAATTGGGTTGACCATGAAACTTCGAGGTGGTACGTAGACAGATTGAAGTGTCGTAATTGAAAAGAAAAGTGTGGATAAATAGTATTCATAATAGAAATTGAGTGTTAATGGCGACCTATTATTCGGGCTCGACTTAGTTCAAGTTTTATTCGTGTTTTAAACGATTTAAATTTGAATAATTTTTTAAGTTTATTTATAAAAATCAATCTAAAAAGTTCGATTCGTTTATATACATAATAGTTAAGTTTTTTGAGCTAAAACTCGACTCATTTTTTAAATAACCCAAATTTATATAATTTTTTAGATTTATTTAAAAAAATAAACTCTATCAACTTAGATTCAAATTCGCAAAATGTGTCTCAATTAGCACCCTTAGTAATAGAGAGGGAAATGCCAATAGTAAGAAATTTACTTAGTCGTGATAAGTGCAAATAATGAAAAAGTAGGGTATATGAGTATGATAATTGTGATATGTTTTTCACTTTTTCATTTGAGGATTAATTAAAACTTGAATTATCATGAAAATTACAGGGGAGGTCCTTTCTTGGGAGCATTGCCCTTTAGATTTGGTTGCTCCCAATTTATTACACACTAATTGCTTGTTCATTGTGCAGTCGGGAGTCTGCATTTAAAATCTAGTAACGTGACATTGATTAAATTTTTAGATTAAATTTAGATTTAAAATAACATGACAGCGAACTTGAATTTTTTTATTTGGTATTATATTATTTGAGCCTCAATAAAAATTTTAAATAATCAACTATCATGTTATTTAGACTCTAAATTTAATTTTAAAATTTGATCAATATAATATTATTCTTTGACATTTTATGGGGGAAAAAAAATTTGTTATGACATTATTTTACTCATTTGATATCAAGTGTCAGTGTCATAGGAAATTGTAGAAAATGAACAACTTTTATCAGGGACGGCTCAAGGTAACGACAGACTTAAAGTAGAAATACTAAATGATATTTTTTTATTATTTTTTATTTTTAGTATTAATTTTTTAAAAAAAATAATTTATTTTTACTTTTTTTATGGGAAAGAGACAAAATAGGGATGTGTTAGTGTCGGAAGAAAAAGAAGTTTCAAATTTTGTTTTTATTTTTTTATCAGATAGTGAGTGTGTGTTTAATTTTAATTTTAATTTTTTATATTTTACATTTTTAATCAAAAAGAGAGAATGAGTAAAAGTAAATATGAGTTGACTTTTGAATATTTTTTTATTTTTGTAACTTATAATTTTTAAGTTTCTATTGATATGAATTGAATCATGAATCCAAATTATTACAATAAAAATTTTGATTAGATTTAATTTTTTTATACTTAAAATTTTTTGGTGGACTAATAATATACCTAAAATCATACGACTTAAAACTCATATTTTAATTTTCATACTGTTGGACTGGTCCCGACTCTTAGGATTTTAATAGTTAACTATTTGAGTTAATACGATGTGCATAAATTTATGGTTAATTTTTTACATACTAAACTTTTTTTTTTGTTACAATATATTTAAGTTTGTGTCGATTATTTTCTTGAACTCTGAGTCGACTAATGTAATTCGAACTAGTTTAAGAAAATATTTCCTGAATAATAAAGGTGACTGATCCTTAGGGGATGTAAAAAGTATCGAACCTAAAAATTATTATTCTTACTTGTAAGAAGACAAACATTTTGTTTAAACCACTCCAGAGAGTTCCTACATCCTAAACTTACGTTGCAATCAAGAGTTTAAAAATCCTGGGACTAAAATAATTTATCATTTTTGGGAAGAAAATAAAACCTAAATATTTGGAAATGGGTGACGAAGTAGGTGAGTGCATTCAATCTGGTGTGTGGTAGCGCGTCGTGAACATGATCTTATCCCTCTAGAACCCGGAGTTGAAATTCGGACCACCGCGGTTGAGCCGTGGCCGCGTTCAAACCAATCTAAGCAGCGGCCCAACCATGGTTTTGTTCTATGGATTTTGACCTGCTAGTGAATATAAATATATAAATTCTCTTTAAATAAAGGATGGGGGCAAATGAGAATATCCGTAACCTCTTTAATAAGTCTTTATTAAAATTTTTGAATGCGCCCGTTACTCTTCTTGAAAACAAACGTAATTAGGATTGCATAATGGTCAATCACTGAATTTCAATATTATACAAATAAAATTCTAATAATTAGTATTGGAATTAGTAAGAGTAGGGATTAAAAATTTTGTTTCAGTATATTGTTTTAGCTATTTTAAAAAAATAAATTATTTTTAAATATTTTGAAAACGTTTTAAAAATAAAATGAAAACAATTAAAAAAAATTTTGTATTTTGTTTCTAAAACTTTCTTAAACATTGTCTAAATTTATGAAACATCTTGAAACAATTTAGAACATTAATGAAGTTATGTTTAAATACTTTAAAACATCACGAAATATTAAAATTTTGATTTAATCATTGATTCATTTCAATCTCTTTGAAAATGAAAAAAATATTTCAAATATTTCGACAATTTTAAAATGAAAATTTAATCCTTGAGTAGTAAGAGATGTCCCAAGTTAAAGGTAACTTATTTGATGTGCACTTTAGCATTGAGTTTAAAACCTAACAGAGATTTGTAAACTTACTCCCAAAATTTTAAAATAAAAAATACTTGGTATATCTTTTTGTGTACATATTTGTGATTTTGATATTAATTTTATTAGTCATTAAACATTTTCAATGAGTCTTTGTTTCAATAATACTCTTTGTCTTGTAAATACTTTATATTTTTTAGGTCAAAAGTTCAAATCCCCTCCCTTTCCTCCTCCCAAAAACAAAATAAAAAAAATATATGAAAATTTGTTGGATCAATTTTAATTAACTACAATTAATCTTATTTTCAATAAAAGGCTATAATTAATCTATTTCTGTTGTAAATATATGCATGAAGTTTTTAAGGATTATTGATGAAATAAATAATATAAATGAGTCATTTTTTTTTTATTGATAAGAAGAAAATATGTCAGAGAATCTACTTTAAAATATTTTTTCTGACTCTGCCCCGTCTATCTCGTCTAGACTATAAAGATGTTAAATTCTATCAACAAGGAACATAGAATTAAATTATTCTCTCCAAACACAATTTTTAATCATTTACCGGAATACTATTTATGAAAATTGTTGGACCTATTGAAAAGGGAATTTCTTTAATAACTTTTAGCAACATTTCAAAGAAATAATCATTGAAGAGAAATAGATCCCACCATGCTTTTAAGTAAGTTATGAAGGCAAACGCAGCGCTAGGTTCCCTAAAGCCAATAATTTTGGCCTTTTCCTCAAAATTAGTAAGCGGTAATTCATTCAGTTATCTGATAAATATTTTATGAGGAATAGATCAAATATTCAAATATTCTACGAAACATAATATCTTCTCCTTGTGTAAAAAGCCGGTTTTGCACAAGATCCAATATTTAGTCTAGTATGATGGGCAGACCCAAGGGTCTAACTCTTGCCACGAGCCCAGTTTAAATTAAGAGCTTAACGCTAAGAGATTCAATGTCCAAAATAGTTCACGTTCGATCAAGCTCATCAGGTTCGAAGAGTTACATCAAAAGGGGAGCATGCAAGGGTCATTTAAAAGCCTCCTCCTAGCCACCTTAAAGTAAAAGTCATCTAAGAGCATCCTCTTAACCACATTGGAGTAAAGGTCATTTAAGAATCTCATCATAGCCACCTTGGAGTAAAGGTCATCCAAAAGTCTTATTCTCGTAGCCTTGGAGTAAAGTCACCCAAGAGCCTCATCCTCGTTGCCTTGGAGAGAGTCAACTCTCACTTCATTCTTTGACCAAGTCCTATGGAGAGTATTGTTGTCTCGTCCGTTGAGAAGAGATCGCCACCTCCGCCTCCGCGGGATCAACTATTTAATCACTATTAAATCACCCCAATCCGTTTTATTAATGTCAGACTAACTATTCAATTACTATGCATTATGAGGTAATTAAAAATTGTAAGCATCGCCAACACTTAGAGGACATCATCACACTCAGTCGAGCACAACTCTCCTCCTCCTCTCTAAGCTTGTAACTCTCAGCTCTCCCAACACACTTGAATTAATAAAATATTCGACAACCCTTGTCATTCAAAGTGAACGTAAGTCACGTTAATTGAACTACTATAAATTTTGTCTTCTTTCTCTCTCTACTTATTTACTACATTTTATATTGCTGATTTGACAGGTGATGTGCAAACTAATTTGTGCATCATCATCATACGTGAACAAAAAAATATACTGCAATAACTTATTAAGACAGTTGATTTATCAAAAAAAATAATATAGGTCTTTCACTTTATCTTCATTCTTTATCAATCATTCAGAAGAAAACCTTCATCAATCAGGCTTGGCTTGATTAACAAGGCTGCTTCACTTCTGCTTTTAAGCAGAAGTGTGGTAGTTCTCTTGTGATCAAAAAAAAAAAGTCCAGCTTGAGTTTGGATTTGTCAAACTCGCTTTTTAAAATAAACTTAAAAAATTATTCAAGATAAACTTATTTAAAAAATTGAGTCGAGCTCGAGTCTAGGTCCAAGCTGAATCCTAGTAGCTCAAACTATTTTATATATAAACGAGTCAAATTTTACGAACTCGAGAATTGAATCTTTTAGACTTATTTTTTTAAACGAATTTAAAAAATTATTCAATGTTAACTCGAGTTTAAGTCAAATTCTTAGCACCTGTACTCGGAGTCTAGATGTTTGACATATCTATTAAGTGTATAAAGGCTAGTCTTGAAACGTATGTGTTTGATATATTGATTATAGCTAGCTGGCCTTTTAGACTATTGAAGAATTGAGGAAGTTCAGGATCATTGATGTTCTATTGAATATTTGACTGGAAATCAAAGTTTTAAACCTTCCACAGAATATGCAAGTCCATTAGGCACTCAAATATTACAATTTATTACACCTACCTAGACAGTTAACTAAAATAGTGGGTTTTCAGGTGTATTATCAACAAAGTAATACTATGTAGTCCAAATTTACAATCAAAAGCATCACTCTTATATCAAATGATGAGGATCATTAGATCAGTGAATCTCATTTAAAAAAATTAATGGGACCCACTCATCCAATAATCTTCCTTTATTTGGAATAAAAATTTGAGTTACATAATATTTTCTTTATCAACAAAATAATAAAACAATAATTCATAAATCACCAAGCCCACATGCAGGGCACATAAATATAACTATCCCTTATAATTAGGAGGATAGACATGTATGATCACATGCAAATTTAATTATGGTACAGTGAAATGCTTAACATTGGATAGTGAGTGTAGTAACACAGATTTACATCTCACACATGGCATGTCCTACCCTTTCCTAGTTCCCACCCCCCCCCCCCCCCCCCTAGAGCCCAAATCCAACCACAATTCTTAATACGATTTGTTAATTTGATGTGAAAATAATATGAACTTATAAAAAATGTATTTAACTTCAACGGTTTTAAGATTATAATGGGCAAGGGCGGAGTTAGAAATTAGTTTAACGGAGGGCACTTTAACTAGGCCTAGCTCTATAACATGAAGCGATTAAAGTACTTTAGGCTTTCACAAATATGATTTTGATGTATGTTAATAAAATGATGTAGATCACAAATCTAAATTCTATTAAAATTCAAATCGTCCATAAAAAAGATTTCATAAAAACGAAACACCCAAAAAAATTTTAAATGCAAATGAAAAAGGTCATTGAAGTAAACAACTAATTACACTCAAGTCAATGTCATACACATATAGAGATATAATAGAGAAATTATATTTTCAATTTAAGATTTGTCTCAAGCTATTTCTCATCTATCTTAGAAAATTGACTTTGATGTGCTTTTATATTTTATATAAAAATTGTAAAGTTATTAAATAAGAATTCAAGAAGTAAGCACAATAATAACTCTAGAATTCAGCTGCATTCAGTAGGGAGAGCTTTGTCGCCCTTGTGGTCCCCTTGGCTAAATGTGGATTAGTCGGATCCTGTTGTGTCTACCGGATACCGAATGATCTGACCAAAAAAAATTAATACCTCTAGAATTCAATTGAAACAAGTCAAACATTAATCTTAAAAAATTAGAGATTAATTGTAGGCTAATTATAAATAATTTAAATTTTAGATTATGAATTTAGAAGCAAAAACACTCACAAATATAGACATTAAGAGTGAACTTTTTGTCTTGTAAAGATTTTGTTTTGTTGAAGTCAAGGGCTCAAGTCCCTTTCCCCTTCCCCCTTCTCCTCTCCAAAAAAAAATAAAAAAATAAAATAAAAAAATAAAATTTATTATATTTAAAAATATAATTAAATTATATATATATATGATTAAGGAAAAAATTGAGGGTGGGTCCGTGCCCACCCTGCCCCTACATACACCCACCCATGATATTAATGGGGTTAATCCATCATACCCGCATAACAAATGAGCCGATCCAAATCAATTAATATATAATGAGAATTTGATCGTGTAGGATCTTAAACGGATTTTGTACAGTGCGGATAACTCTTAACAAAACATGACTTACACAACTTAAACACCTAACACGACATAATTCATTCCCGATCTGGATATGTGTGAGAGACAAGCAAAACTTGGAATACTCCTTAATAGGCCCATGCCTATTTTTTTTTTTGGAGTAATAAGTCTCTCAATAGAACAAATTTTGATCTATTTAAATCTATATTTAATTTATGGTCCAACTAATTTCCATTTTTATGATCTTTAGAATATCTCCAATCATAACTCAAATTTAAACTTAAATCAGAGTATAATTGTACTCAAATCTTTTAAAAAATTCTCTTATTGCCCCAAAATTTATTTTTTTTGTGTCATTCAAATCATGATATTTGTAAAATAAATGAAACTTTCATATCACTCCACAAATGAGTAATTTAAAAAAAAATTAATATATATACAACACTACATGTGAATAAAGAAACCACCACAGAATTATAAGATTATTTTAATCTCTTATTATTTTATTATAAATCCAGATAAAGAAAAATAAAAGGAAAAAAAATATAACTATTTTGACATGGGCTTAATATGAAGAACACAAAAATATACGTTTTTAACAAAAAAAAAAGATTTTGATCCAAAAAAAAAAGGTTGAAGAAATAAAATGACAAATTTTTTAAATTTGTGGGTAGTGAATGCTTAAAATTTCAGGAAAAATAAGTAGTCTAAAATTATACTACTGATAGTGTTTAACTCGAAAAATCTAAAGAAAAATTTGATGGGTAAGCGTAGGGTGTATATAGTTAGAAAGACGGGTGAGATTAAAATTTTGAAAAATACAAGAAATTAAGAAGATAGAAAATGAAAATGAAAAAAATTTACCTACCGGTAGGCCTCACCAAAAAGCCCAATGGGCAGCCCATGACCTGGAAGCCCAAGAGGCTAATGGGCTGCTCGACCTGTACACGTGGTAAGGCTTGGGCAGCCCGCTAACTTGACGGGTAGGGTCTGAGCCGTGTTTTCTAGGGCCAGCCCTTTAGCCCCATTAACCCCCCTATTAGCCCAATAGAACATACCTGTTGGAAGAAAATAATTAGATTATATTTCATAATTGTATTGTTTATTTGATATTTAATCTGTAACTTTTATAAGGTTGAGATTAGCAAATGATTGACAATTATGTAGGTGTCAACCTAGTTAAAATGTACTCAATTTGTAGTGATGCAAAATAATTTTACCCGTCAATTAATTTATAATATAACATTTGTAATTCTATATGAATATTTATTAAATTCAATCAATATGAATAATTGTTTTGTTAATTTATTTTTTCATACCAACTTCATGTAATTGATGTCTTTTTTTGTAATTTTTATATGAAAAATAAATTTTTTAATGTCTTTTTGTATTTTTTTTTTACATAAAAATAGTTTTTTTTTAAAAAGCATGTTTCAGGCTCAATGGGGCGGATTATAAGACCCAACCTATATTTAGCCCTTTTTTGGCTCAATAGGCCAGTCCACGGCCCTTGAAATTTCATAACAGGCAGGCTTGGTCCAACCTGTTGATTAGTCAAAGTCTAGAAGTCCACCTTAAAGGCTGGCTATGGGGTAAATGCTAAGCCCTACTTATAGGCTTTCAAATGGTTTGTGAAAACCTAAGTTGTGGTCGAAGATGAAAACAATGTAATAGAGAGAGATAATCGAAAAAGATTTTTTAATTTTGGACAGATTAAAAAGTTATTGTTAAAAATTTGGTATAAAATTTGAATTCATAATAAATTTTATCTTAATTTAATAATCGACTTTAGATTTAGATTAGATCAAAATCAATTAAATTCACAAGTCTATTTTTCCAGTTGTCAAAGTACCTTTTTTTTGGTCACTATTTCAAATTTTATAATTAATACACCGGCCAATTTCCCCCAAGTCATGTTCACACCCACGAGAGAGAGAGTTTAGAAAACTTTTAAGTTCTGAAAAATCCAATGGACTGTTCTCTGTCCACCGTCAATTGACCAAATACAACAAAGTATTTTGAGACCCAGACGCACCTAAGTGACGGAAACCGTAAAAGTAAGAACTTGATTGAGCGAGCATGGAGGACTTTCAGGTCTGCCATTCTGTCACCACTGCCTTCTTATCTTTTACCAAAGTGCTGCAAGTAAATTTATCCGTTAATTACACAAACCCCTCAACTACACAGCATTACGCACCCCCCTCCCCCCCAAGACAAAAAACCTCCCTAAAGTGTGAGCATCCGCAACACATAGACCCCCTAAAATTGGTGATCAAGTAAGACAAACACCACCTAAAGCTTCTTGTGCGAGTGAGTAACACATTCGCCCCCCCTAAAATTTATACTTTAGAGGGTCATACACCTAGGGGGCTCTATTCTATCTTATTATGTAATCCAGAAAACCTGAGTGTAATTTATCCAATTTCTAAGAAGCAAGCAAGCAATCTATCAAACTTGAATCTTGCAGGCTTGAGTTATTCTAAGAGCTGTCATCACTTCATAAATTTAAACGTTTTAGATACGATTTTCACCGGAGTGTCGGTTTTTCAAGGTCAAGAATGGATGCAACGTAATTTTATTCATAAAAAAATTCTTGTAAAAAACAAAATAAAACCATTCAGCTACTTTTTTGCAAGTAAGAACATAGTCAACATCTTAATTCATTTATCGTCATTGAATTTATTGTAAATTTTAATATTAATATTAGAAGGAACAAATATAATTAATTTAGTTTTTAATTTAAATCTTAAATCAAATAAAAATAATAGCATTTTATAGCCTATCATCAAACTTGATGCTGACCGAGAGGGAGGGAAAGAAAGAGTGGGGCTAAGAATTCCCAGTCTTCCACGCCTTGGTCTGGTCTCCAGTGCCAATGACCACCCTTTCTGGGTTTTGTCTTCTTCCTATCCTAACCCACGTGACCTTCGTTCTCTATCCTGTCCTACAACTCTCACTCATCAGTTCCTGTGCAAGTCCTACCACCTAGGCTTTGAACCCCAAACTAGATCAACAGTCAGATCTCACCGTCTCTCTTTCATGATTACACAACCCAATTGACCTCATCCACTTATGCCTCTCCCATCACCACAGTTGTCCTCCTCCTCCTCCTCCTCCACCACCACCACCACCACCGTGACCGTCCTCTTCCTAATACTCCTTCCACTCTTCACCAACCCAACAACTGCTTGTTCAAGACCACCATCCACCGCCAAAATCTCATGTCCTCCATTCACTTCCACCCCCCCCTTCCCATTCTCCTCCACACCCGGTTGTGGCCATCCATCTTTCCAAATCCAATGCACATTACCATACTCAACCATGTCCATCAACAATATCTCTTTCTCTCTCCTCCACTATGACCCCAAGTCAACCTCACTTCTCCTCTCACCCACAACCACCTCCGCCACCGCCTCCGCCACCGCCGCCGCCGCCGCCGCCACCTCTGACCACAATTGCACTTCTTCACTGTTCCTCTCCATCCCAAACAGATCTATTAGTCTCTCTGGCTCTCCATTTCGAGTCTCTGACTCTTCCTGTTCTCGCCTCTCAGTCCTCAAACCTTGCCCACCTCCAAACCTCCCGAACTGCAGTCGCTGTTCATGGGATTGCAAGCTTATCAAGAACCCTCTTCAGCTTCTTAATGAATGTGGATCTAATCATCGTCAAGTCTCTGAACAAGGTTGCCAAGGAGATATTCTTGGGTTTCTACACAATTTCTTGAAATGGGGCATTGAAGTTGAATGGGACGAAGAAGAAGACTCATTTTTCTCCAGTTGCAAGCAATGCCAAGCCAGCAATGGGATTTGTGGGTTCAATTCCTCCGAACCCACCAAGCCATTTGTATGTTTTCCAACCCAAACTCGAATCTCCCCTCCACGGATTCATCAACTAAGCCCAAATAGCATCGCTGTTTTGTCTATAATTTTTCTCTCCATTTGTATGTCGGTTGTTATATCTATTGCTACAGTTATATTTCTCTACAGAAGAAACTCATTACCTCCGGAAGAAGACCCCACCATTGTTTTCCTCCACCGCCACCGTTCAGCTAGTCTCCTCCCACCAGAGTTCACCTACGAAGAACTCGATTCATCCACCAATCATTTCGATCCCAAACGCAAGATCGGCGACGGTGGATTTGGTTCTGTCTACTTGGGTCAGGTTTACGATGGCCGAATAGTCGCCGTCAAATACCTGCACAAACACCACCCCACCACCGCCGCCGGTGCCAAGGCCTTCTCCACAAAGTCTTTCTGTAACGAAATCTTGATTCTATCTTCCATACACCACCCCAATCTCGTCAAGCTTCATGGGTATTGTAGTGACCCAAGAGGGCTTCTCTTGGTGTACGACTATGTCCCCAATGGTACGCTCGCTGATCATCTTCATGGCACCAAGAGCTTGTACAGGAAAGGGTCGTTAAAATGGCAAGTAAGATTGGACATTGCTCTACAAACAGCCATGGCGATCGAGTATTTACACTTCTCAGTTGTGCCACCCATAGTCCATAGAGATGTAACTTCGTCTAATATTTTTGTGGAGAGAGATATGAGAGTGAAAGTGGGTGATTTTGGTCTGTCAAGGATTTTACTGTGCTCTGGAACAGCTTCTTCTAATGGCAATTCTGGGTGTGTTTGGACTGGTCCACAAGGTACACCAGGATATCTAGATCCAGATTATTATAGCTCGTTCTTATTGACTGAGAAAAGTGATATTTATAGCTTGGGGGTGGTGTTGCTGGAGTTGATAACGGGGATGAAGGCTGTGGACCAGAAGAGAGAGAAGAGGGAAATGGCATTGGCTGATTTGGCAGTGTCGAAAATACAGATGGGGTTGTTGAACCAGGTGGTGGACGCGGTTTTGGTGGTGGATGGGGAGGCGATGGAGGGGGTGCACGCTGTGGCGGAGTTGGCGTTCCGTTGTGTCGCGGTGGAGAAGGATGATAGGCCGGATGCTAGGGAGGTGGTGGCGGAGTTGAGGAGGGTTCGAAGCCTCGGGCGTGGGGTTGGAGGCATGGTGAGGCCGTCGAATTCGAGCAGTGTTGTGCCTGATGGGATTGAGTTGGGATTGACTAATGCCTAATGGCCTGGAGGCGTTGGAATTGGTATAGTCAGTGGGGAGTTTTGTATCAATAATGCTATTCGTAAAACTTAACTGCTAATTCAACAATCACAATGAAAGATCGATTGTATGTCTTCAAAACAGGTCTCGAATTTGTGTACGTGTGAACAGTTGATAGATGCACAGGGGGGGAGTTTTGACATAAGGTATTAGATGTTTTGTTTGATTTTGATGAAGAAAATGTTGATTAGATTGTTGGTCTTCCGTCAACTAATCAATCCTGCTCTTCCTGTTTCCTCTTCTTTTTCTTTTTCCCCTTTTCTTACTTGTTTTAGACCTTTCTTTTGTAATTGAGAAATTGACCCGTCCAATTCATGGTTGCAATGTAAATTTTGAATGTATGCAATCCCGTATGCATCCACAAAATCTGGATGTTAACTGGCCAATAAAACTCCAACACATGACGTTCAGGCTCACACGGCCTACCGTCCATTCAGAATTGGATGATTAGGGTTGGTCGATAATAAAATGCAACTCAACAAGATGAAGCTTAGACATATAATTGTTATACTATGACTTTCATGTGCCTGGCTACTGCAGCATACAATAGAACGTTTTCATGACACATTATTTGCCAAGTTGATATTACTGGTATAAGACCTTTCAATAGTTTAATAGGCACCCTGAAGGAACATGCTTCTAAAATATCTATTATGGGTCAGCACAATCACCTGGTTTTAGTTTTTTAGCCCTATATACTGAAGTTCTATAAGCTGAACACCACGTGCCAATCCATTCTCTTTTGTCTTAAAACAAGTGGAGACTGAAAAGGAGATAGGAGAGGCGGATAACAAAACCCAGCTTTATCTCCAACAGGGAAGCCCCCAAATGGAATTAGTTTGACTCACCTGAGAAATCAGAGGCAGTACAAGAAATACAGAGTTGGGTTTTTTGGATGGTCACAATAGAAAGGCCAATATGTTTCAGTTCAAAATCAACCAACCAATCTGTGTATTGTACATGATACATAAACAACAATGGTTTTGCAAAGTTTTTTAACGGAAGTCATATAGATCTCAAACAAACAACACATAGCAAATAAGGATGATAAATCGAACAAGTGAGTTATATATTACACAAAATGTAAGATACAAGATGAGGTTAGTTTGACCTCTGATAGTGTTTATCTGCAGGATCCAGCTACCTCGTGAACTATTAAAAGTATGCAGTTTCTAGAGCCCTCGCCTTTTCTCCTGCTATTGAAGCTTCCGGTCTATCCAACAGTGTATAAGCCCTCTCCTGAATCAACAATGCAATAACATACCTCGATTAATGTAAGCATCCCTCCATAACAATTCCAAAAGCTCACCTGCAGATATAAGCAATCGAAAAAAGCACATATATAAAGCAAAGCGATACCAGCAGGTGCCACAAGAACGGGCATCCTTCCCTCTTCTTTAACTGCTTCTGAATGGCGTCAATAGCTGTAAGTCCCAGCAACAGAATTAGAAATAATTTTTTTTTTTTTTGAAACAGGAATTAGAAATAAGTTACCCATAGGTTTAAATAGACAAAAAATCAATCACCTTACCCCTCATAGCTTGTCCAGTATTCAGCAGCATACTGATCCAGACTTCATCAAAGACATCAAGCTGTTCATCTGATGCCCCAATCACCTAACACAGCAAAGTTGGGATTTACTTAAAATCCTGAAGTATATGAAAATGGAGCTGGAATGCGTACCTGCTAAAATACCTTATAGTTGACGGCCTGAAAGTCTGAACCAAGCAATTCTAATGCCTGTTTGTAGTCACCCTTCCCGTAATGATATAGTGCTTCTGCAAGCTGGAACAAAAGATTAAACAGAGGACTATATTCTCAAGAAATCCGTAGTGCATCTGCTTACATGTCCATGTATATACGTAGAAGTCAATGTGAAGTAATGATTAACCTCATGCAAACTTCTAGAAGGAAAACCCCACCACAAAACAATCATAATACTCTGTTAACTTCTTAGTGAACAAAAAATTAAAGCAATTCCTTCAGCGGATTTTTAGACCGAAAGATGCCTATAGGTAGTTTAGTATATACAAAAAGGAGTAAAAAATTCAGGTCCGCATGGTCATAATGCGGAACAAAATAAAGCAATGAGAACAGACCTGCATTCCTTTCTGCATTAATTGCTGTTTCTTCTTGCTCATCATGGAAATTCTGCACAATGAGAAACAAAATTGTAGTAAACTGAATGACAGACCATGTCTAAAGAACAAGAGTTTTCAAGAGTCCACTAACCTGGATCTTAATCCCTTCAGTAATTCTTCTGCCTTACTCAATTCTCCAGTACAAGCTAAGGCCCATAATGTCAACAAATCAAGGTGCCACTCAAGATACCAAAAGACCTGAAAATGGTAGCGTACATCCAGAACACGGAGAACAATTAGTTGAAGTATATCATCATCATGCAAAAGGGGTGAAAAGGCAAACACAAATACTTTTGTCCTAAGGTGCAGGTTCCTAAAACAATCTTGAAAACTTCTAACTCTCCAGCCAAAAGAGAGTGTTGAAGTCATTTTCCATACATGAGACTACAAGCAGGATCATCATCACAAGCCTCACAATATGCACCTTGGTTTGTTATTCATGCTGTCCACATTGCAAATTGTTACACATGCTCAGATCTTTTGGATACACTACACAATCAAGTTTTGCAGCTTTGAGGTTCTTGTCGAAAGGAAAAATAAAAGTTAAAACTATTATTCCTATATATCTGTAAAGAAACAATAAATTAATCTCAAGATTAAGCACAATAAAAGTAATCTCACGATGAAGCACAATAAAGTAATCTCACAATGAAGCACAATAAAGTAATCTCACGATGTAAAAAGAAAACAATTTGACTTCTACAAGTGGAAAAGCCGTTTAAAAAAGAGATACTAGTTTAGAGATAGAGAGAGAGAGAAATGATGCATTCTCACTTACTGGATCTGTGAGATAACCAGCTAAGATCTTCAGACGGTCCTCAAACACATTAATTTCACCTCTTACATACACTCGCAATAACAAACCGACAGCATTCAAGTAGACCTGCATTAGACAGAAGTTGTCAACAAACTGAAGTGAGTCGTGTTTAACAGAATACCACATAACATACCTCAGCAGCCATAGCATCATCTCTTTCCAACTCCTTCCAGATACAGAGATCATAAACTTCTACCACGTTTTTCATAGGAGAATGTCCTTCCAAGTAACAAAGAGCAACATGCCACCAATTGTGTGTGTACCTGATCATTATTAGTTACATAAAACAACAAAAGAATGATAATGTAAAAATGATCAACTAAATTGGACTAGGATGCATACATGAAAGATGATAAAGCACTCCATGATCTTGAGGATTCTTTCATGAACTCCACCGCTTCCTTGAAACGACATTCATACTGAAGAACATGGCACAGCTGCACAAAAATCCAAATGTTTTGAGAACCAATCAGGACAGAAGTATCATATTGTTGTGTCTCATATCTTTTTATTGGTCTCATATGCACTAATTCTACCATGTCAAATAGAATATCAAGCATAGCATTCTTGTGTTGGTTCATCAAGCATCCTATCTTTTTATTGATAGATCATAGCTCGCCATATTTGGCTTGCTATAGTATTTTTAGGTGACCCCTCGCCAAAAGAGTATATTTATTTGAAGTCTCCCGGGAATGTTGGATCACAACCTGAAACATGCTTCCAGGTTTCATAAATGGACTAATAGTGCACTAATAATGGCATTTTTAATTAGTTAATAGGCTGCAACAAGGAGCTTATTTTTTAGTAATCTGTTGGCCAACTGTAAAGAATCATTATCTTTGAATAGACAGCACCCTAAAAGTAAAACTAATGCCAAAAAAGAAAGGAAACCATATTAGGCTTGACTTACAGCATGTTGTGCCCAGGGATCTTCCTTGTTGATCTCAAATGCCTTTTTTGCTGCTTTCTCTGCATCTTCCATTTGTCCCATCTCTAATAATGCAAAGGCAAGCATCCCATATATGAAATTTTCTTGATCATTTTTAGGTAGAACCTGTAGATCATAAATCAAATAGAATCTAAGTGAAATGAGAGAATTGAAGTTTCTTTAAACTGAAACATATATAGACAACATTCAGTGCTGCAACACAAAATGTTGAACCTCTGGTGGATGAACCACATCATAAGTTTGCATCGCTCTATGCATAAAGTTCAATCAAGCTAGGCAAATGCAACATGCTATTAGGAGTTAGTCTACTTAATCTATGGAAGTGAAGAATTGTTTTATTTTTGATGGAACAGAACCTGTTGAACGAGTTTCAAAGATAGATCAGGGCGACCTATGTAAAAGCATAGAACTTGTGCCCTCTTCAGAGATACCAGATCTTTTGGGAAATTGTCTTGTAGCTGCAAAAGATATTGAAAGCACCATACAAATTTCTGAGAAAAACACCAACGCTAAGACCAAACATAAGGCAACAAATAGAGATGGACACAAACCAAATCTTATTTCTATATTGTTTTCCATTGATTTGGCTTTTGAGCCAAACTCCTTCAATCACTAGGAATATTGTCCTTCTACATTCATAAATGCAATCTTTAAGATTATGATATTTGATTTTCAAAATCCCTATCTAAACCAACCAGTAACAAGCATATTTGAAACAATTACATTGTACAATCTAGAAAGCCATTGCCACTGAAACCGGAAAAGGAGGACAAATGAAAACATCTATAATGGGAACTTTAAAACTCATGAAAAACTTGTCTCCCATGATCAAATCAAAGTCTGGTTTGTCTAGTCAGGGTGCAATCTCCAAATCAAGTGATGTTTTATATTTAGAAAAACATACATGTAGCCTCTATTTTTCTACCATGATATATAAGCTAGCATTACAATTGGGAGCAGGGGATCATTGCAGAAGATAACAAAGAATAATATCTAGAGATTATCAAATTTCATGAAAATCAAATAAATATAAAAAGTTTTTCAGTTAATAAAATTTGATGACAAATTTTCTTTCTATAAGAGGCAATTTGCTATGTGTGCTAAATTGGGTAATAAAAAACAGTGGAATAAACGACTTACTATAATACATATTAAGCTGATTAGCAAGAAAAACAAACACCAGAAAGAATTGTTCACCTTGTAATGTAACTCAACAGCAACATCATCATCTCTGTCTGGTGAAATCAAATAAATGATTGATTCAAAAGCCGCTTTCTCGTACGAGGTAGCTTGCTCCTGTGTAAAATCTCAATTCGCAATTTGTAAAATGACAAAAAAAAAAGTAACGAGAAGGATTGGAAGACAGGAAAATTTGATAAGAAAACTACCAGTCGAGACTTGGCAGCGTCAAGGTATAAAAGAGCACGAGAAGGATCGGAGGAACAGAGGAAATGGGCGGCCAAGATGTTGGCCAAAACACAGTGTGGATCATGAACGGGAGCTTCCAATATCACAGACCTCTTTCTTCCATAACTCAGTACCTTCCATTCATTTACTTATTTCAGACATAATCAACGAATGGGTTTATGTATGCGTACATATATAAGAGACAGAGAGAGAGAGAGAGAGAGAGAGAGAACCTGGTGATAGTAGGAGTTGATAGCTGATATGCAGGCTTCGGAAGAGGTCCTGACCTCGTATCCCCATCTGTCCATTTTCGTTCCTTCCATCTCTCGCTCTCTCTCTCTCTCTCTCTCTCTATCTCTCCCGCTCTCCCGCTTTCTTGTAGTTTAGTGGAATTGGCGTTTCTGTGAGCTATAAACAGGTGGATGCATCACCCAGAACCGAGAGACGATTATTATGGATTTTCTTTCTTTTTTTTTTTTTCAACCGGGCGCGGCTTAGGCATATTTCGGTTAATTTCTTCATTGATTTAATTAAAGGAAAAGTCATTCATACTAAAATCATACTCCTGCTATTGATAGAATAAATTGCTTATGACCTTTCTCTATAAAATTTGTCAAAATTTAAATTTAAGTAGTCTAAATTTTTAATTCCTTGTTTTTATATTTAAACTCTATATTATGACAACGTCCAAAAATCACTCAAATAGTCCTTCTTAGTAAAATTACGAGGCTCTTGACCACTTTCGTTATTTTTCTCGAAAATAAATTTTATTAGACTAGTATGACAGTTAACTATCGAGTTTCAATATAGACTATAAGATTCAAATCTCTAACCTCAAACTTAAAAGTTAAAAGTTAAAAGTTAAACCGATACTCCACTGAACTATCCGCTCCGTAGTTAATTTGAGATGTACTTGGTTTAGTCTAGGGTGACTATTTTGATGCCTCGTCAGTAAAGTCTAAAAATGATATAGGAAACTCACCAAGGTATTTTATTATTATTATTATTATTATTATAACTTAGTGACATAGTTCGCCGGTTTCAAATCCCGCTTGACAAGAAACAAAAAAAAGAAAGAAAAGTTATAATTTAATTTATTGACATAATTTGTTAACTTAATTTATTATAATTTTTAAATTGACGATAAATCTCATCAAATATTAAAACTAAGTGTTAATACAATGATTCCAATAAAATTATATCATTAAATTAATAAATTATGTCAAATTTTTATATGATTTGGTTAGGTACAAACAATAATTGAGTACTATCATTAAACATATTTAATTTAAGTGTCATCCTAGATTGGTGGAAAAAATTAGGAATTTTAGAATTCTTGCTGGCATTTTGATTTTTTCTCTGAAAAATAAAGTCAAAATTATATGATTGTTTTTTATGGTGTTTTAAGTTTGCGTCGATTATTTTTTTAAATTTTGAGCAGACTACCGTAATTCAAATTAGTTTAAGAACATGTCTAATTCTTAGAGGATATAGAAAATATCAAACTTGAAACATTTTATTTATAAAAAGTATCTATGTGAGAAAGAAGAAGGTTGGTTTGAGCTATTTGGTTGCTTAATCATTCGTGTTGCTACTTGCTTTCTATGCAAAAAAGAATAAATTCTTATCAACTTGAGGACTACACTCCACCAAAACCCCATGCTACTCTTGTCTATATCCTTTTTGGTTGTCATTAAAGACAAAGAAAATAAATATTTCACTTTCTAATAATTCTGATTTAACAGGGAATTGGAATGGATTCTTTCGTGATGGAAAGGGCAATGCTACTCTCTCTCTCTCTCTCTCACACACACACACACACAAATTGGGTTATGGAGCATAGCTTAGTAAGTCCGTCCAACAAGTTTGGACCAATTTGATGGTAGACATCAAGTTCAAGTGATAATAGAGATTAAAGTATTATTAATCATGATTCAAATTTATTGAGTAAAAAGTTTGATTTAATACAAAGGGCTCCAATGGATAAACTTAAATTTAAAAAAAGAAAAACTCAAATTTAAATGAGTAAAGAAGACTATTAAATTTTTAAAAGATGATAAAATTTCACTATTAAAGATTTGGATAAAGATTTAATTCTCCCTTAATTTGAGTAAAAAAATGAGTTTCTCTTAATCTACTATAAGTTTAAGTTAAAGGTTGAAACAATTTTTTTGAGTTTTTTTACTTAAATTTAAATTTGAGTCTAAATTTAAGTTAGAGTTGAAGATGCTCTTAACTGTTAATTCAAGTGTCTTGATATCGAATCTTGGTAATTCTTTAGAGGTATGTCATAAGAGATTTATCCTTACTCCCGACGTGAATGACTTGTCTTTGACTGGATCGGAGAAAGAATTAGTTGAGGTACACGTAAACTGTCTCGAACACTTCTAAATACAGCAATACAAGCAATACAATTATAGATGGAGGGTTAAAAATCAATAAAAAAATTATATAATTCATTTATATATCTATAACACTCAAATTACTTGGGGAGGGGCTAGAAAATCTTTTCTCTCAACTCTCTAATTTATAGTAATTTTAATTTATTTAATTAGTCAAAAGCCAATCAACTTTCACCATATATACTCTTCAAAGATTTGTAATCACTCCTCATTTTGCAGTTACAAACTTGAATTCATCCACACTACATGGGCAACAACCACTAAACAGAGTTTTTGCAAGTTTGTCTTTGTTTCTATCAAAATATTCACTTGCAGTATGTTCATTACTTTTGTAAAGTTTATAAAACTTGACATTCTACACATGTTCTATACATAAAATTTCAGATGAGTATAAATTTTGTGCCTCATACGGGCTTCCACTAGTATTTACTAAACGACTCTTTCATTGCCTTTTCGAGGAACTCATATGCAATGGACTTTGTTTTGTGGGTCATCTGAACACGGTTGGCAAATGGGCTTAGCGTCCATTCCCCCCCCCCCCAAAAAAAAAAAAAGCTTGATGCTGCTTGTTGCCATGGCCAGGGTATAGTGACAGAGGTTCAAAGATGCTATACAGTACACACAATAAGTGTGGAATGAGAGACCAAGTGGAAAACTCTTGATGGTGATTAGGCCACTGATCACACAAGATTATAAAAATCTCAAGAGTAAACGTTCGAGCTTTTGAAAAACGAGTTAAATGAATATAGATCTCTCGAGTTTATGTTACAACCATGAGTCTGGACCATGTCTAATTGAGATGGTTGTTGGGCAAGAAAAAAAAGATGGACCTTAACATAGATGTAAGCTGCCCCAAAAGCGAGCAATGGCATTGTCACAGGGATGGAAGGATTGAAGGACCAGAGGGCCAAACCTTGTCTACTGGACAATTCACATATTGGTTTATCAGAATGAATGAGAACTGGGACTTTCTTGTGAAGAGGGTTGGGTTTGAGAAGGAACTCACTCTTTGTACCCTGCTTCTCTTCCACAAACTCGTAGCCCACGGACTTGATGTTGAGTGCGATTGAGCCCACATCACAAAATTAGAAACTAAGGAGGCCGGTTCCTTCAAAATTGGGTCGAACTTTAGATGGTGAGGTTTAATTCAATACACAGTCAGGTTTCAACTGCATTACTCGAATATCATCTACGCGCTTAATGAGATTTTAAAGTTTTTGCGAGTGTTGTGATTGAATCTTAATAGGATAATGAGAGATTGTGATGTATTAAATTTTATAATTTTGAAAACAATCCAATTTCAAAATATCCATACAAATGTGAGGCAAGCAATTACGTTGGTATGGGTGGCGCATGGACCGCCTGGCATATTAAATGGGACTAGGTGTGGTGGGTGACCGCTGAAACGATGGTGAGAGACTAATAAATAGGAGTATCAATTATGTCCTTTCGTGTTATTTTAAGTATCGTATTAATAAAAAAAATATTTAATTTTATGATAATTTATATAATATTATTTAAAAAAATTTTAAAAATTATTAAATACTTATTTTTTTGTCTATAATACTCGTTAAATATTTATTTTTTATATACAGTACCTATTAATGATGTTATTAGTGTCTTAACTTTAATTTGTTAATTTATTACTCGCTTTAATTAATCATGCTATTTTTGAATTTTGTATCAGGTTAAATTCATCTTAAGGGGTAAAATTGACAACCTTGCCAATAAAGGAGGTGTGAAATGAGAAATGGAACTTACTTGTGATACCATTAGACTTCTTCATGTTGTTTCATACTAATTAGAAGTGGACCTTCACCAAGTTGACATAATAGTTTGGCTTTTGATCAAAATGCCCATCGACACTAGATGGGGAATTTTTTGTCCATTCACACACCATTATGTAACTCGGACAAAGACGATTGCTATTGGATTGTATAAGTTGGGTACGTATAGGGTACACCCTAATGTGTTGTATATCGTTGACCAGCTCGTGCTAACACTTTTTTTTATGGGGCATGCACGCATAGTGTGTTTTATTATTGGGTTGTGAAAGTGTGTAAAGATAGATCCGCACCTAATAATAAGACTCGCGGAAAAGGGGATGGTAGCTGAATTGTGTGGCTCGGACTCATGAATATGACTAATTCAACTTCAATGCAACCTTCTACTAGGTGCAGCCTAGATCTTTTCATACTACATTCATGACTTGCAAAAGCTCTTGGCAACATATTCAAATCAGATTGCATCATAAACATCAAACACTTGTACAGAAAACTCTTCATGTTCTAAAATATAGCTTCTGCAAATCAAATTGCATCTTGTAACATTATCAAACATTTATTCAGATAAACACTTCAGCATATTCTAAAAGAAACTAGCTTCTGCAAATCAGATTGCATCACCGCCCATAAAATTATCAAACACCTACAGATAAAACACTTCAGCATATTCTAAAAGAAAATAGCTTCTTCAACAAACACACCTCCTAATCTCCCTTCAACGGGTTAATTCAATTGGCAGGAGGAGCTTTGAATCTGGCCATAAGCACCTTAGCAAACCCAAGGAGCTTATCAGTTTCAGGCATAACATCCTTGACAGCAGCATCAGAGCAAAAACTCTCAGCCCATTTACACAAATTAGGTGTCTTGGCTTCATCAAGCAGTTTCACATTGTTCAACTTCTCAGTCACCCTGAGCCACGCCAAGAAGCACCCAAGTGCAATGTCGAGATACCCAATACGTTCTCCCCCAAAGAAATTGCCGCCTTTGTTGCATTTGGGGAATGCATCTTCCAAGAGCTCCAATCCTGTAGCCACTTCCTGTACTGCCTCTTTCTTCTCTTCGTCTCCCTCAGCAATAAGTGCTATTCCTCTCACAGATGGGAACCACTGCACAAGTCATTTGGATCACGTCCCTTAAACCACATAAAACATACAATTAAGGATTAAACAAATTTTCTTTTCTTTTCAGTTGTTTCAGCCAAAACATTTCAAGGAAAACCAAAAATGTAGTAGTGGTGGAAAAACCATGTTTTGGAATCAAAATTTATTTGTTTTCCGGTTTCCATTCTGTTTTTAAAGTATTTAGTTTGTCATAAGGTTCCTCCTGTACGCCCATCAATGGATATGAGTATTTGCCGACAGTGTCCTTATAGGAAATGGGTATGTATTGAGAGTGAAGGGATCGATTTCGCTCGCACATTGAGAGTTTTGGACTGTATAAAGAGACTTGAATCTTTAGAGACCTATATAAATCCTCCCCAAACTCGTCCAGGAGGCTACTTGGCCCTGAAATGTTTTCTCTAGCTACTTTGATCCTTGCTTACAAGGCAGTTCTAATTTCCGAAACTCATATTGTTGGCCTAAAACTCAGCATAATCAACTCTAACAAACTAACACCATCAAAGTAGTCAAAACCCACAAAATTTTAGTTACAAGAAACAATTTCTGTCTATTGTTCGTTTGAAGACAAGAACACTACCGATACTGTTAGGAGGACTACTTCCAGTTTTCAAACATCTATCTATCTTGACCAAAATATCTCTAAATTTGCACCCAAAATCTTTTTAACTTCAAATTACATCCCAATTTAAATGAAAACCCATACATATCCAAACCTTGTAACCATATACGAATACATGTGTGTGTGTGTGTGTGTGAGAGAGAGAGAGAGAGAGAGAGAGAGAGAGAGAGAGAACTAGGACAAAGAAAGAAAGAGATACATAAGATTGCACAAATCCAAGTTTACGTTGTGACCACAAGTAAAAAATTGACGATTCTTGATTAGTACAAACAAACAGACGCACCTTATCATCGATGTAAGCCGCCCAGAAGCGAGCAATGGCACGATCATAGGGATCTGAAGGAAGAATCGAAGGACCAGAGGTCCAAACCTCGTCGATGTACTGGACAATGATAAGCGATTCACATATTGGCTTATCAGCATGAATCAGAACTGGGATTTTCTTGTAAACAGGATTGGATTTGAGAAGAAGCTCACTCTTTTCGCCCACCTTCTCTTGGAGAAACTCGTAGTCCACGGACTTGATGTTGAGTGCTATTCGAGCTCGCATCACGAATGGACTCGGCCATCCACCCAGAAGCTTGACGTCACTTGTCGACATGATCGAACCTTCAAATGCAGCAACAGTGCTTGAAAAAATGTCAAATCTAATCTAGGAGCCAGAGATCGTTCTTGTTCGTGTGTCTCCATATGAGGACGAGCATATAAATAGGCGATGGAGAGTTTGGTTTGGAGTCAGAACCGAGGAAAGGTGGTTCACACTTGGGTGGGTGAAGTTGAGACACGCGAATTCAATGGTAAGTGACCGTAGATTCAGACGGGTTTGAATTTTGATAATTAGTTTAGGTGTGTACGGTCTTCTAAGAGCATCTTTAATAAGATTTTATATTTTAAATATTTAAAAATATATAATTTTTATTTTAATTACTCATTTTTTAATATATACTCTAATAAAATTTTTATATTTTAATTATTTATCATATTTTATACTTTTATTGAGACTATTAAAGAGAGCTGATCTGTTGGAGATGCATGATACCAAAAGTCCATTTTTGTGGTACTGCAACCAACTCCCAGAAATATAGGACAAATGTGTAATGTTGTGTGCAATGTACAGAGATCTGTCCACCTGAATTATTTAGTGCCGACGACCGACGTGAATGATTTTTGTTTTTAACTAGATTTTAAAGATAATTATTTAAGGTGCGTATAAATTAATTTGAATATATTTAATTATAATTTTAATAAATAAAAAAAATTAATTTCATTTGTATTTTTTTTATGATGTGCAATATGTTGTGTGTGAATGTGAAATATTTTCTTATTTAAAAAAAATGTTATATTTCCTATGTGACGTATGTAATACCTAATATAGGTATGTGTTTGGATTTCCTTTTTTATAAATAAAAAGAAAGAAAGTTATTTAGGAAATTTAAAATTGGTTGTACGCTAATATGTTATAATTAAAACTGTAATTTTAAGAAATTAGAGGGACTTAAATGACATTAAAGAAAAATAACAATCATGTCTTATAAATAGATTGACCGCCCCTAAGTTGTCTTATATATTATCAGTATTGTTGGGCGGCAAAGAGAAAAAAAGAAATAGAGAAACAGAGAGAATGTAGAAAGAAAAACAAAAATGAAGAAAAAAAAAAGGGAATTGAACTCATTAAAGGTATGATGAATCCATTAATTATTGATAGGATTGTAAGTTTTTCAATTACAAAATATTAAGGTTATCATAAATAATGATAAAGACTATATATATATATATATATATATATATATATATATATATATATATATATATATATATATTATTATTTATATGCTCATGGTGGAGAATAGTAGTGAATGTATATATGGGTCTTATTGGAAATTGCTAATTTATGTGTTTTTAAACCTAAATTAGATTGGTTAGTCTTGAAGTTCGAAAGAAATTTAAAAAAAAAAAAAAAGAAGAAGAAGAAGGAAGTTAAGGTCAAAAGGTGGAAAATTATAGAAATTTTCATTAGTTACAAGAGATGTCATTGTGACCCCTTTATATTTTCATAAATTCAATTTTGATCACTTTTTCACTTGATAATTTATAAAAATGACCCTAATAGTTTTGAAACAAGATTTATAAATTATACTTTGATTCCAAAAATTTTAAAAAATTATGATTTAACCCTAAAACTTTAAAAACTTTTTCCAAATAGCCTAGAATACTTTCATACTCTATCACCTCATATTAGAGAGGATATTTATATGTAAAAGATATATTAAGTGTATATCAATGGATAGGAAGTATAAAAATTAAATATAGAATCGCGAAACGACGAAATTAAAAAAGGGATTGATTGTTATATGTTATTTTGAATTTGGCGGTGATTGCATTGAGGTTGGGAACGAGTGCTTTGAGTTAGATTTTAGAAATTAAGGTGAGTAGTTTACTACTTCTTTTGGGAGAATTTTCTATATTCAATTTGTGGGTGCGTGCGTGTGGATTTTTTTATATATATGATATTTGTGTTGATGTTTGGGGTTGCAATTAAATGTTTTGAAATTGTGAACAATACATGTGAATTGTGGAAAACTTGTGGGATGATTTTATATTATTATTTTGGTAATGAAAGGAAAAATTTTGTGTGCGTCGGGATTAAAACTATAGTTTTGGTGTGTGTGTGTGTAATCATATTTATGAGACGATGACTGGAGTTACCAGGTTTAAGTGATAACAAGCGACTGGGATTGGGGTTATCAAGTCTAAGTAATAACAATCGACTGGGCTAGTCATTAGGCTAGTGATGACAAGAGACTGAGCCAGTTACCAAACTAGTGATAACAAGAGACTAGACTAGTTACCAGGCTAGTGATAACAAATATGATTTGACAAATGTGTTTGAAATTGATTGTGTGTGAGTGTTTTGAGTTATAAATGTATTTTTATTTATAAAATTATTTGTGATCATGAATTCATTTTGTTTAAATGATTATGTGAGAGGGGTTATGATACAATTTATTGTACTTATGTATGTATCAAATTTATTTTTGGTATATAAACTGTGGGAGTTATTTTCACACCTCATTAGAGGTGGTTGCTACTCACGGGTCTTTGTGCTTACCCAAACATTTGACATTTTCAGGTGAGGATCAGGAGGAGGAGTAAGTCCTCGAATAGACAAGGGATTAAAAGAATCGTAGATTTATTTTATTGTAGATCTTCAGGAATAAATGTCTTTTATAATTTTGAGACAAATATTCGATTGTTTTGAGAACAATGTTGTTTTGTTTAGAATAGTGAACCTTATGATTTAATTATTATTTTACATGAGTTTAATAATGACGTCGGTGATGTTTAGTTTATTCCTCTGGTATTCATTAGGTCGATGGATTAGATCACTTTATTGTTTATCTTCCGCTTTATTTTGCATTTATTATGCATAGGGTTGGTTGGCTTTGGTGGCTGGTCCGCCGCCCACCTTATATGATCCGGGATGGGGCTGTGACAACATAAACCACCTCACACTATTAGGAGGAACACGTATGGTGCACTCATGCTGGATAATTTTATGTGCATTAAATTTGTGCATCAAAATTTATATCAAATCAATTGTAATCGTTGGATCAATGATGAGATCCACTGATCCAACGACTGCAGTGATTTGGTGCACATAGCATTGCTTCTGCTAAAATTTTTCTTTGCAATTTTGTCTTGAAATTACTACAAAATAGTATTGAGGTTATACTAACATGACTGTGTACAATTCAATAAATTTAAACTTTTGTAAACAAGGGTACAACGATAATTTTGCCACTACAGTACGGATTAAAATTTTGAATTTTTTTATATCTCGGATGATGAAACGGACCTCATCATTAGATTCATCTCACGAAATTTAATTATCACGTCAAATTTCATCGAATTTCGAGATAGTCAAATTTTTTACGTTTTATGAGGTGATCAAGTCTCGGGTGACCCAAAAACGAGATTTCAATAAAATTAATTTGAACTTAAACCGGGACGAAATTTAATTATTTCGGGATAAAAACGGACCCCAAAATAAAAAGGGTCTTGTGGCGCGTTGTGGGGCAAGTATTTTAAAACTATAAATAGGGGAAAATCTGACTTTTTGACCCATTTTTGATCAACCTGTTAGCTGATAGAGAAGAGAGGGAAAAGAGAGGATTTCTCCACCTTCTCAAGCCAAGAGGAAAAGTCGGTCTCCTCTCCAAGGGCTACGCGACCACACCAAAAACGATGGGTTTCACCGAAAGTTGAAAAACAAGATTTTAGGGAAGTGAAGATTCAAGATTATTTTGGGTTCTTGGAGCTTCCCAATGTCATTTTACGCTTCAAGAGGTAAGAGTTCTCCTATTTTGGTTCATTTTTCACTTGTAGTGTTATATGAAATGTGTGGGTTAAAGGGGAATATGTATTTCATTCATTTATGCATATGACATGGGTGAAATAGGTATGAAAAATGAGTGTATAATGGGTTGAAATAGAATTTTCTAGCTTGAAATTGTGATGTAAAAATTACTTGTTTGATAATTCTATGAAAAAGTGATTATATGAGCATGCTATATGTTTTATATTATGCGTTGTGAATGAGGTGAAAATTTTTGTGTGATAATATGAATTATTGTCTTGAAGGTGTTTGCCAAAATACCTAAGTGTGGATTAAGTTGTTATGACATGATGATGTATAACATGCTTAGTAAATGTGTTGGAAAGAAATGTTAATGTGTGTTTATTGATATATTAACATTGTAATGATTCATGGAATTTATATGCTTATGATATGAATTGTCATGAGATAAGTGGTTAACTCGCTTATTGGGCATTCATTGCATCTTGGGCATACTATAACATCACATTCATAGGCTTAGGCATGAGTGTGGGTATGTGTGGTGCATAGTTTAATCAAACACCATATATGGTAGTTGATGGTGGGCTCGAGGAAGTGGAATTGAAGATTCCACTGAGTCGCACGATTGCATGCATGGAAAATTGGGTCGGGCTAGCAAGAAGGGCTAGATTATCCCTCGGGTGAGAGGCCCGATAATTGGATATGCACTCCGTTGGTATAAGAGCCCAAAAAGTAAGTCAGTGTACACGAAATCGTTGATGAAATTCTATAAATTTCGTGTCGATTGGGTGCCGTTGGTGTAAGTCCATAAATATCCACCCCCATATAAAGACCCGGAGATTTTAAATAACCATTTAGAGGATAATATAAATGGTGGGAGCTAGAGGGGCTCAGTTTTATATGCATTGACATTTGCATGTGTTGAGGAGCCAGAAAAATGCTCGGGGTTAAAATGCGGGAGTGTATCTCATTTCATTCATGGCATGACATGGTAAGTTCCATGGTGAATTCCAACATGGATTTCATAATTCTTACACTGGAATGGATTTTGGTTGTGTTTTGTTGCATAATACATTGCATATGCACTTAGGTGGGGAGTAACCTTTGTAGGAAATTTTCTATTGGGCGTTGGCTTACCCTATACGGGAACACATTTAGATGCGGGGTTCATACCGGTGTAGGACTCACATTCGGGGCCTCAAAAATGAAGAAAAGTCGGTTTGTAACTTTTGGAAACAAGTTTTGTAAAAACTTTGGTTAAATGCCGTTTTGACATGTAAATTATGTAAAGACATGTAATAGAACTTGTATGAATCATGTATATTGTAGAAAATATCCTTATACATGTTTAGGATGAA